TCTCCCCCCCCCCCCCCCCCCCCCCCAACAAAAAAAAAAACCCATAAAAAAGGAAAATGAGACTGCAAAGATAAGACTGGGAAGGTACACCCAAACAAATCAGAGGGATAGATGTTAATGAGTTCCAATTACTTACGCCATATCAACGATTCGTTCCTTCTCCTGAGGAGCAAGGGCCATTACAGGCAAAAAAGAGCTTGCACTTTGAAGCTATAACAAAGAAAAAATTAGTATTAAGTACACCATCGTAAACTAACATTCAAAAAAATGAAAAGAAATGGGTTAACACTTTGTATGTCAAAAATACCATATAATGACCAGCCATATATTCAGGTGTGGCACCAATAGGCACTTGTGAGTCATAAACAACCAAGCCAACCTGACAATTCACTAAAGGGTGAGTTGACATTCTTGACTATTTAACTAAATGACCAACTGACAACATAAAGGAACTCTTACTTTTGACCACTTGCTTAATGGATCTAAGTTGACACCTCTGTTCAACAGTACACCAGCCAAGTCCCTTCTGCGTGTCTAAATATTCAACCAGAGAAACAATCAGTTAAAAAGGCATGCTTACTGGAGCAACCAAAAAAAAAGTCACAAGTTAAAACATCACAAAGCAATACAGCCATTAACCTTTAAAGTATTTGTTCGAAGACATATTGGCCGAGACTTTTCAAAAGCTTCAATAAGTTCCAAAAGTTCAACTGGAGGAAACATCTGTTACAAAAGTGGAAATCAGAAAAAACAAATGCAACAAATGACATCAACATATTCCAGAGTTAAATAAATAAGTTTTGACAGGTTACCTCCACCAAAACTTCGATTAGGAAATCGTTGTATCCATAGTACGAACCTAAGTCCACCATAAGTTGATCAATGTAATCCTTGCGTATTGCCCCCTTTTGTCTCAAAGACTTAAAATTTGAAAGCACCCGAACCACTGAAATTAATGCAAACAAATGTGAACAAGGGAATTGCATTGAGAAGAAAAAGGAATTTTAAATGGGCATATAACTCACTCTCTTTTATCCTTCGTTGGAGATTTGGGAGATCAGGAGGGCGACGTGCATCTTCCTCAAGCTCCTATGTTTATAAACCATTGAATAAAATTAAGCATCAGAAGAAGTTTCAAAACCATGAATAGTGGCAAAATTAGTAAATATCAACTAGAAAATGCAACTAAACCTCCTTGGTCGGCAATATGAACTCATCAGCTTCCTCTTTGATGTTGAGCTGCAATTCAGCATCAGCTTCTTCTTCCTCCCTCGCCTTCTCTTCATCAATAGCTCTTGATTTCTTCTCAATATTAGAATCATCTGAATCAGAAGCTAAATCTGAACCTTCGTCTGCAACATAAAAGAAAATACTACTAACATAGTGCCACAAGTTGGGAGAACTGTACAGGAAACCAGAATCATAAACTCAATGTGGCAAAAGCACAGACCTTCGTTATCACTTCCTTGGAGAAAATCACCCCTAAATGGATCATCCCCGTCAGAAGACATTTCAGAACCTGAAACAGAATCGTGTTCTTCTTCTTCAAAACCCCCCAACTCTTCCACCCCTTCATCCATTCCATCCGAATCGCTAACATCATCTTTTTTTGGGTTTTTATCCGAGAAAAATTCTTTTTTTTGCTTCTTCCCGGGAGGATGTTTTCGCGAATTTGCACCTTTTATTTTACTAACTGCAGTGGCGGCCATTTAAGCTACAAGAACAAATAAAAAGCCCCAGTATACAGGATTTAGCTTCATCCAACCAAGAGGACTAGAGACACAACAGAAAATAGGCTATAGTATTATTTATGTCTCCATACACAACGCCGGGCCGCCGCCTAGCCACAATTTATTACATATATTAGGGGCCCAAAAAAAATTTAGGGTCTCTAATTTGAAGGCAATTTTAGGTGGGGGTGGGCTCCAACTCCGATGGAAACAGATGTCATGTTTCTGAACTCCGATGCGTAGTGACTTTTGCTGCCGGACCCCGCTCCGACTCCAATCGACGAAGTCAGGCCAGAGCTTCGGAGTTGGGCCATAATTGCGCTTGAAACTTTTTTTTTTTTTACTTTGCAGAGATTTGGAATTCCAAAAATGATTTGTCCAAGGCTGCGGGTCATTCTACAGTGAATTTGAGCAGAGGATCCAGTCATTGTGCAATTGCAACATAAAAAGAACACTCAACTCAATTGCAATCAAATGAGCTGGGATGTGGTCAATTTTTCTTGGTACTCTTGAATAGAACATCAAATTGAGTTACTGCTGAAGAAAATTTCCAGCAATAAAAGGCAGGACTTGACCATGAAACCCATTGAACAAGCAAAGGAGTGTTTAACTACAATACAAATTTCAGCTTCATAAATCATAACTAGTTCCTTAAGTGAGCTAAAATCAAAATTACCAAAGATATTACATATTTTAGAGGAGTACCAGTCATGATTATTAGACACCCATCAGAATATAGGCCAAAAGGTTTACTATTTACCAAAGAAGGTCTCGTCAAAAGGAAGAGGAAGCCGATTACGAACCATGCTGGACTGCTGGACAATACGGAGAGGCAAGAGCTAGGGCTTCATCCACTTTGATATCTGCCTTATATTTCGCCACTTTCTCTCCAACAACACACAGGCTGCCAGGTAGATGACGGACTTCCTGCTGTTGGGGGGAGAGAGAGAGAGAGAGAGAGAGGCTGTGGAGGTTAGGGCGTTTGGGACTTTGGGTGCAGCAGATACTTGGAAACTGGAGAGAACGAGAGATTAGGGTTAGTGGGTCATTCTTTGAGTATTGAGCGCAGAGAGGTCAGTGGACCGAAGCGGGGGTAGGGTGTATGGTCTTCATCCCGTACCCGTTTAAAAAACTCCTTCCATCCCCGGTCAACTCTGTTGTCCGTGGGTAAATTTCTAATCCCCGCCCCCGTCCCTGCCCAAGCCCAATTTTCTAATGAATATAGATACATTGATTTATATCTATAAATGTAAAAATTATGTAAAAATTATAATCAAAATTTGACAAAATCTTATTTGATTCCAAGAAAAAGCACAAACCCACAAAAATGCACAAATGCACAAACTCACAAAAACTATAGCTCAAAGTCGACAGCATATCACAGTTTTGACCAACTGTAATTTCATGAAAAAAGAATTACAATCATGACTTAAGATAGACAGGCCTGCCTATACAATTTCAAACAAAAAACTAACAAGAATCAAAGAATAACAATTTGATTACGCAACACCTTTAACCCTTGTTGATCCTGAAGCAATAACACCTTCGTTTTTGAGGGAATATCGAGCAGATTGGAAAAATCAGTGGAACACCGTTGCTGCACAGCCACATTAGCGAAAAAATCAGCCATGAAGTTAGCCTCCCTGTACACATGCCCAAACTTATTTTGCAGCCTACCCAGGATTACATTGATCTATATCTATAAATGTAAAAATGATGCAGAAATTATAATCAAAATTTGACAAAATCTTATCAGATTCCAAGAAAAAGCACAAACCCACAAAAACCTTAACTCAAAATCGACAGCTTATAATAAAAAAAATTTCTACAGAGCAAAAGAACAGACGCTCGACAATGGCGGTGCAATCGGCGAGTCATAGAAGATAAAAAGCTCTGCGACTTACCTGGTCAGCCGACAGTGGAGAGAGAGACTTACCTGCTCAGCCGACAGTGGAAAGTGGAGAGAGATGATGGAGACAGAGAGACAGAGCGTAGGAGAGGAGAGAGACGTTCACTCGTTCAGGCGAGGGCCTGGACTCTGGAGGCGGACTGGCGGAGACTGATGGAGGAGAGGAGTAAGTTAGGGCTTGAACGTATATTTAATTATAACGGGGATTTAATTATTTATAACGGGTATATCGGAGAGGAGCGAGAGCAAGGCAGTCCATCTCCGTCTTTATCCTTAACGGGGATCCTCATATATGTCTACATTCAATACATATGATATATTTTAGTCCAAATAAGATAAATTTGGATGAATAATTATTTTTTCTTAGTCCACTACCATCACTAATTGAGTGTTATTTTTATATTTTAAAGTTAATTACACTAAAAATTTTCAAAATATATAATTTATTTTATTTTAGTTCTCAATATTTTAATTATATTATTTTAGTTTCTAAAATATTTAAAAAATTGTGAATTTAACCTAGAAACGTAGTTATCCACAACAATATTCAAGACAATACACATTTTTTTTTGGGTAAACCCCATTGGTGTATTATTTTCGAGAAACTTGAATGTTGAAATCGTAATCAGTTTCAAAAGATTTACGAAATTCATAGAGGTGGATAAAGAAAAAAGTACATCATTGATAGACCGAAATAAATGCTTAATTTTCATTAGCCTAAGGGGTATAGAAATCAAATACCGTCTCATGGAGGAAATAATCATAGAAAAATCCACTTTACATGCTTAACAAAATAACATGTATACTCGAAGTTGGCAACCAACAACCCATGCTAAAATTTCCCAATTGTTCGATATTTGCTATATCATTTTTTGTGATTCAGATGGCATGAAGTATTGAATGATGGTGCAGGATTAGATTCTATCTTGTTGAGCAATTGTTGATGCATGTAGACAGTAGATGAAGCGAGGTCGTCGTGGTCAGTAATTTGCTCCTCTTAGGGATTAGATTATATAGTTTAATTTGAGTTTGTGTGTGTAAATGATAATGCCAAGAATTATTTATAACCTTTCATGGGAAAAGAGAAGGAAGCAAGGGAAAAGAAACCATAATGCTTTCCAAGTTACTACTGTACATGTATTGAATTTCCAGTTCAATCATTGACCTGTAATCACTTCACTTGCAGCTTTAAACTGGTAAAAGCTCTGCAATGAGATTTGTTGTAGGAAGAGATATCTTTATGGAAAAACCTATTGTAAAACATTTGCCCAGTGTGAACCCTCTACAATTTTTCTGGTCGTCTGGTATATATCCCTAAAGCTTCTGCCTTCTAATGACCGGCCGGTGAACAAGAACATAATTGGTAATCTCTGTGTGCGCGCGCGCGCGTTTTTATTGACTAGTAAAATAAATTACACCAGTGATTAGTTAGATAAATAAGGCAACAGATGAGAGGGTAAAAAGCCCTAGGGAAAACCAGCAGACTTTCACAACACTTAGCTTTAGCAGAGTCAAATCCTATGCTGAATGCATGGGCTACTATGTCAAATCACTTGGGGGGATATAGATGCAGAGCAGTCCAACTCTAAATGGGTATTAAAGAAGCACAAAGTTTGCAGCACACATTGATCTCTCTGCAACTTGTGAATTATTATTTAGGCCACTGCACTTCAAACTCTCAAACAGAATTTAAACTTCTGAAGGAGACGATCAATAACCTCCAATGAATTGCACTTGACAAAGCCTTATTCCAATAGACATCTCATCTCAACACCCTTTGAAAAGGCACACAGAACTAACTATTCCTATCGAATTGAAGCAATAATAAAGCTAGCAGCAGACTTCATATCTCTAGATCTGATGAGAGAACTCATGAGGGCATTGTATGCCCCAATATCTGGCAGTAAATTTCTCATGCAGATTTCATTGAACAACTCTTTTGCCTTGGTTGTATTCCGAGCAACCCCTGCTCCATGAATCAAAGTAGTTATTGTTTCCAATGTAGGCGAGCAATTTATCTGTTTCATTTCTTCAAATAGTCTGAGTCCATCACCAAAACAGCCCTTCTTGCAGTAGGCATCAATTCTGATATTATAGGTTACATTGTTAGGCTTAAACCCTCTTCGAACCATCTCATGGTAGAACAGCTCAACTGCAGTAACATCACCCGATTCCTTGAAACCCAAAAGCAAAATATTCATTGTCTTGGCATTGGGGGAAAATTGAGAATGCAGCTGGTTGAACACAGATCGTGCTTCCTTCATCTGCCGTTGTGTGCAAAATGCTCGAAGAAGTATGTTGAACTCATCAGTACCAAATTTTTTCCCAGCAAATATTTTCTTCTCCATCCTCTCGAATGCTTCAAGGGTATCTTCATATGATTGGAATCTTGCAATTCTCGATAACATGATGCTCATTGACTTAAGGGTAAGCAAGGAGAGGTGTGACCGCCTGATTTCTTCCATCAGTTCCCAAGCTTTATCAAAATAGCACATTCGCGTAAGTATGTGGAGGGTCTTTTCAAAAGCATCAGAACTTGGACAGAACTGGGAGTGGAGGAGGGAGTATTTGAAAAATTCGAAGGCTTTGAGGCCATTAGAGTGGGTTGCGAAGAGGCGACCAAGAACATTTTCCACAAAGGTAGGGGAAAGGACAACTGGAGGAATCTGGTGACAAAGGGTAAGATGAAGTGGGTGATCAGGAAATGGATGGTCGTTGATAATTTTGGTAATCCTCTCACTTTCAATTTCTGTCTCTGAAGAAGAATGATGTCGGCAGGTCGATTTGAAAGCTATGCTGATAAACAGTGAGAGCTTCAGAGAAACTTGGAGATGTATATTTGTTTTCCCTGATTTGATTCGAAGAAGCATGATCTTTTCTTCAAAAGAAGTGGCTGAACATCTGAAGTTCCATCTACAGTCACGATGCTTAACAAGTCGTACCTCCCTGATTAACCAAATGGGCACCTAGTTTAGTATTGTTTTTAATAAATCAGATACAACAAGTTTCAAGATTTAAAAATGTGCATGACCATTTGCTTAATTAACAGTATGGTAGGATCAAGGATGTCTCCTATTTTCTAACAAAAGTTTTGTTACTTATCAAAAACAATTATAAAGGAACCAAACTATTCACACATAAATTGCAGAGCCACCCGCCAAGTCGATTAAACTTCTTAATATGACCGCACCAGTTTAGTGAATCATGAGCAACACAAAATTAACAGAGCCGTAAGGGCTAGCAGTTATAAATCCACACACATACACAAAGCATAAATCAGAATGATGTTGTTTTAACAGTCTTGAAATATAGCAGAGCTGTCGATGACATTAATCAGAGCTGTTGATGTTGTTTTAACAGTCTGCAACTTGTGAATTATTATTTAGACCACTGCACTTCAAACTCTCAAACAGAATTTAAACTTCTGAAGGAGACAATCAATAACCTCCAATGAATTGCACTTGACAAAGCCTTATTCCAATAGACATCTCATCTCAACACCCTTTGAAAAGGCACACAGTACTAACTATTCCTATCGAATTGAAGCAATAATAAAACTTGCACTACCATAATTGAATAGAATAAGAACACAATTAAGTAAAATATTCTTCAACAAAACCAAACCCTAATAATCCCTTTCTCAATCATTCAAAACTCCCATATGGATTACATCTGAGATAAAGCCCCAATAAACCCGCTAAAACCCTCCTTTTCTTTCTTTCAAAACCCTAATTTGCACCATCAAAACAGCAAAATTTTAACACAAATGACATAAATTTTTTCAATCAGACCTCGTCTTCATGAAGAAGCATATTGGGAATCCTCTTATTGACAGGAAATTTTCGGCCGGTCTCAGGGCAGACAAGAGCACCTTCTTCGAGGTGGAGCTCGAGGAGTGCGTGGTGGAACTTCTGGAGAAAGTCATCGGAGTCTAGCATCGAAGGGTCGGCCTCATCGGGAAGCTTTGTGTAGCCCATGGATCTGGAGGCGTCTATGAGGGCCTTCCACTCGATCTAGGCGAACAAGTTCTTGAGAAAGTCGGCGTTGAAGTCCACCTGCTTCTCGACAACTTTCTCGATGTCGATTCGCAAACGGAAGTCATTGGCCACGCCCTTGATGTTGGACGATAGCATGTTGTGGGTTAACAGCCTCATCTCTGCCTTCTCTCACCTCGCTCTCTGTAAATTGTCTTTCTATCTGGAATCTCCACTGCGGAGGCCGGTTAGCTTTTGCATTCAAGTTCAAAAACACAGATTCAAATAAACACACACATAGAATTTACCACTAATTCTCGAAGTAAATTGCCGACAATGAGAAAATCGAGCACCAAGAAAATAACCCGTGCCGAAGGCATTGTATATAACACCAAGAAAATCGAGCACCAATCCTCACAAACCTTCCATATAGTGGATGAAGTTTGGAAATCTACTCTGGTATAAATTGTTTGATTAAAAACAAAAAAGCATGGAATATTAAAATTGAGCATGAGCATGGAACAATAAAAACCAAATAGAGCAGGGAACAACCAGAAAGGACAGGGAATATTCTCTAGCAAGCAAAGTACAGCAGTATCCTGGCCTTGGTGCACTAACATTTAAGGGCCAAAACCAACTATCTAACACCTTATCCACACCATAACAGTGACTACTCGTTGTTAGCACATTTGTTTTGTTTTCATGTTCTCAGGAAAAAGAGTATTGAAGAACACTTGACTATGAATCTAGGCCAAAGATTTCTCAATTCTAATGGTAACGGGAAAGTTAGCTCTTGGAACCTTGAGTTCTACATTTACATGAAATCAAAGTCACACATTTCTCGACCAATGTTAGTTAATTTGATTGAAAAAAACTCTACTAGTTGTGGGGTCAGGTGGGTGGAGTAAAGGTACACTTTCTGACAGAGGGCGCTGCTATTTGTGGTACTGGGCAAAAGCTTGTTCGAGGGACTGGTCGGTGGTGCCCCAGGCCAACCCACCGACGAAGCATCGGCACACGCCATTGAAAGCAGAGAGAGAAAGAGAGAGAGCAATGGAAATACCTGGTCGAAGTCGTGCCCTGAGGTTGGTGTCGTAAGCTGGCAGCGACGACGCTGCAGCCTGTGTAGGGTTTTCATTCAACATTTGGGGTTTTTGCCCTGAGAATAACGGGTCAAGAAAAATCGACCCACGTAACACTGTCCGATACAAAAATTATTTTTGTACATAATATAATAGAAAGAATAATATCACATGAATTTAAAAAATAAATTTAAAAATTAAAATTAGTAATTACAATCATTGATTTCACTGTAAGTTTTAATTTTTATTAAGACCCACTAATTATTCAATAATTAAAATTATTAATTTTAATTTTTAAATCTAATTTTTAAACCTATTTAACACTATTCGTATAGAAATACTAATAGTAGTCACACTGCACGATGCACCAAATTTTTACACTATTCTTCTTCAACTCAATTTTGTCAAGCCTCAAATGCAATTCGTAGGCCATAAACATGAGACAATTGAAGAACAGCTTAAGAAATATTAAGTGTACAATAACCGACCACCAGCCCTATGCCCTAAATTTAGTCGTCAAATTAGCCAAGTGAAACATTAAATAAAACTCAAATCAAATCCATTATCTCCTTTGTGTCATATTTCCTTAGCTTAAATACAAGTAATGGGTATAATGGTACTAGTGAAACTCTTACAGGGCTGGTAAAAAAAGAGGTGGAGGTTAAAAAAAACGTCCAAGATCATCTCAATAGACTTTTATTGGTGGGATCACAAGGTCTTTAACCGTGTCCGTTACATCTCTTGAGAACGAACTTAGTTAGCCTAGTATAGCGGTAAACCACCGAGCCTAAATATAGATTTCAATATTCGAACCTCTAACTTCAAGGTGAGAAATTCGACTGATATCCCTGTTGAACCACCCTACATTCGGTGGTAAACTCTTACAAGGAATGGTTCTTCAATAACTCGAACTAAATTCCAATTTCCTAACCTAAATATAGGCAATAGCTCTATGTACTGTATTGCTTAATTTAGATTGATTCCTAAGTCTATGCATGGTGCTGGTAACAGTGCAAATGACAACCATAGATTAAGGTACAAGAAAGGGCACACGCAAAAGAGAATCATATAAATAAGGAATCTTCTGGGCTTTATGTATATTGAGGGATTGATTCTGGTTCTGTCATTGACAAGGCCCCACATGAGAGAAATGGCCGATCAATTTGTGGCGGTTGAAATCCCTCGTTCCGAGTCGCCGGAGAAGCATGTCGATGCAGCTGGTAAACCTTTTAGTGCCGTCTCTCTACTCCTCTTTCTCTCCTTCTGTGTTATGTTTTTGATTTAATTTTTATACATTACGAAGGTACCTTTCATGCAATTCGAATGTCAATGTTATGCGATTTTTGATTATCATCAATTATGTATAAACAATGTCAAACGTTAGAGTCGCACCTAATCTATCCCTCCCGCCACTCGCTTAACCGGACAATTATGACATATATTATCAAATTAGCATTAAACGCGGCCTTCATGCATGGTAGAATGGAACAAATTTATGGTTGGGCAATCACTTGAAGAGTTATGATTTTTCATGCAGAAGGAGAAGAAGAAGTGAACGATTGTCCGATTGGGCAACTAAAGGTATTAGTTCCGATCATCGACGATCCACGTTGCCGGTTCTAATGTTTCGGACATGGGTTCAAAATCTCTCCCAAAGCCATGTTCGTTGTTCAGGTACACAATATTATTCAATCATATTGAAGTATAAATACTTAAGTTACATCTTTTCAAACAGTTTAAGCTTTTGTAATTGATAATTTACATAATAAAGTAGAACAAATTTGAATTTTGGAGATAAAAAGTGATTTAGATCGTTTTGTGACAAAAAAAAATATCATCTAATGGAAGACATTATTCCAAACTGTCTTAAACTATTAACATCTCAGATCGTTTTAATCCGACGTACTACATTAACTCTTTTAAAATATTTTTACTCCTCAAAATTAATAGTTTCCAAAATTGATATTCTAAAATTTAATTTCCTCAAATCTTTTTCTTAAATCAAACAAATCTCTCTCTCTCTCATTCATCTATATTTCTCTCTCTCACACTCAGTTCATGCAAAAAATATTAATTTTTCACAATATTTTTCTCTGTACCTCATAAAAATATCACGAAAATATTATATAGTACGTGATTCAAGCAAATATTGCATCTCTCTATAGATAGATACTATATATTACAGAGAGATAATATATTACAAAAACATTCATCTGTATACTGTATCTTTGTCTGAAGGAAAAATATATAATAAATATTAGATAGATAGTATATATCACGAAAATATTCTTTTGTATCTTTCTCTTTCATTCAAGCAATACTACAAATACAAATCATACAAATTCAATAGTTAATTTTCTTTTTCATAATCAATTAAAAAAAACATAATTTGCAAAAAATATAATTTAATAAAGAAAATATGTTTAACATGTAATATATACAATATTAAATTCAATCTATTGGGTAACTCAGATATCAAAAGATATATTAAAAAATATATGTTTAACATTTAAAATATACAAGATTAAATTCATATATAAACACAAATCTTACAAATTTAATATTTAGTGAACAATACAAAATAACAATATTTACAAAATAATTCAAATTTAAGTACCCGAGAAAAAATTAGAAGCGAGAGAAACATTACAAAATTATAAGCAATATTATGAACATGAATTATATAAATTCAATATTTAGTGAACAACACGAAACAACAATATTTACTGAATAATCCAATACTAAATAACGTTTAGTTTAAAAAAATATACTAAAAATATAAATAATTCAAAAAAATAATATAAAATTAAAAGCATTGCTATAAACTAGAATCATACAAATTCAATAGCAATAGTCAATTTTATTTTTTTCATAATCAATAAAAAAAAAAGCATAACTTGCAAAAAATAAAATTTAACAAATAAAATATGCTTTACATGTAAAATATATAAGATTAAATTCAAGTTGTTGGACAACTCAGATATCAAGAGATATATTAAAGAAAATATGTTTAACATTTAAAATATACAAGATTAAATTTATATACAAACACGAATCATACAAATTCAATATTTAATGAACAATACAAAGTAATAATATTTACTAAATAATTCAAATCTAAATACCTAAGAAAAATGATACAAAATTACAAACAAGAGATAAGATATAAAATTATAAGCAATACTATGAACACGAATCATATAAATTCAATATTTAGTGAACAATACGAAGTAACAGTCTTTACTAAATAATTAAATACTAAATAACGTTTAGATTAAGAAAATATACTAAGAGTATAAAAAAACGAGAAGAATGATATAAAATTAAAAACACTACTATAAATTCGAACCATACAAATTCAATAGTCAAGTTGTATCTTTTAAAAGTCGGTTGAATTTCTAATAGTTATATTTGGTCATTTGACAACATCTGCAGACTTAATTTATTTGTAGGAGTATTGTTATATTTTTCATTCTATTAGTTATGAATTCTGTTATTAGTTAGATAAAGTTGATTATGAATGATAAAATCTAAAAATTTGAATAAAAAATAGAACATTGAATATTATCAACTGATATATTTTTTCAGATATTTAAATTATTATTTTCAATAGTTATAACATAATTTTCGTGGCGTAATAATTTAATGTGAAAATATATATTATGCATGTAGGTTGATGTTATAAAATATATTAACGAACACATTTTGTTCGTCGTTTACTACAATATTGTATTTTATTTTACATTTACGTATGAGCAAATATTTATAACTAATTATTAATAACATCGTGCCTTTAAATACGGACACTTGATAATTATTTAATATAGTATCAGAGCAGACAATCCAATATTCGAATCTCGCTGCCACCCTAATGATTAAAAGATTTTCACGTGCTTGACCCAAAAATCTAGCCTGCCAATATCTCCCTGATTCTTGAAACATATGCTTACATAAATTTCATTTTGGTGGTTCATTTATTCACAGTTGGTTGGAACAATAGTTTCTTCTTCCATCTACTTCGGCACAGCTTGGTGGCTTCACTCAACAGTTGAGCACATCTGTGATCCGTCTCAACTACCCGATGGGAGTCCTTGGACATGCCCTGGTGACGATGGTTTCTACAATGCTTCGATCATTTGGGGAGTAGTAGGCCCAATGCGAATGTTCACAAAGTACGGGGTATACCCGGAGATGAACTGGTTTTTCCTCATTGGCTTTCTTGCACCCGTACCCGTATGGCTGCTTTCGCGGAAATTCCCTGAAAAGAAATGGATCAGGCTGATCCACATGCCTCTTATTTTGGGAAGTACAATGGGCATGCCACCAGCTAGATCTGTCAATTATTTGATGTGGGGAGTTGTGGGACTCTTCTTCAACTTGTATATTTACAAGAAATTTAAGGTATGGTGGGCAAGGCACACTTACGTTTTGTCGGCTGCATTGGATGCTGGAATTGCCTTCATGGCTGTTGTTCTTTACTTCACCCTTCAAGCAAAGGATATCGCTGGTCCGGATTGGTGGGATTTGACTACAGAAGACCATTGTCCATTGGCTAGGTGCCCAACAGCACCAGGGATAGAAGTAAAAGGCTGTCCTGCTCTTTGATGTGCATACTTGTCACTGGATGATATAGGCTGTTCTATAAACGTATAATTGTGGAAAACTGTGAATTCTGTTGTCTGGCTTCTGGAATGATGATGCTGATCAAGATGAGAATGAGAAAATGAAGCTGTATAGTTTATTCAATACAGTTGATGAAGAAACCAGTGAAGTAGGAACCATTGCAATCTGCATTAATGCTGGAGAAAGATCTTATCAAACTTTATTGCATGAAATCAAATAAGACACAAACTGGACCAAAAAGTGGACTCTGAATTGACTGACCTTAAGGAGTCATATGAAGATGAACATGAATTCCATTATGTTATGTTAGAAGATAAGACCCACTACCAATAATCCCTGCATGAACAAGAACCATCTTTAAAGCAATGAAACCGGTTCCGATCACGGACAATTATCTGTCGGTTAACAATCTCTGATATAATTTTCAAAGCAGTGTGACAGTCTTCACAAATACGAAGATTCTTCATAATTCTGATTGGTTTTCCAGTAGGTATGTTCATTAGACCAAAAACCAATGCTAATTTCTCACTGTGGCGATACAGAACTTTTTCTTTCTCATTCTCTTCTATGTCCAGCAGAACCACCGAAGTGTTAGGTACATATCCTTTCAACCTCATTTCTTCCAATAATTTGTGCCACCTCTGAAATATCTCCTCAGTTTGAGGATGGGTCTCATCCCCGGCCACAAACTCATGGACCACTCCATCCACCGTAATTGAACTCCAACCTGGTGTCTTCTTCACCCCTTGATCTCTCATCAACTTCCTCACTCTTCTCACGTCTTCCCAACGCTTTGCTTCCGCATAAATGTTCGACAAAACTATGTAGTATCCATCATTTAACGGGTCCAATTCAAGTAGGTGTTTAGTTACTTCTTCCGCCATTTCAATGTTCTTGTGGACCTTACATCCACCAAGGAGAGCTCCCCACACTACTCCATTCGGGTCAATAGGCATGTTCATAATAAACTCATATGCCTCTTGAAGGAGGGCTGCACGGCTTAAAATATCAACCATACAACCATAATGTTCAATCTGTGGAGTTATACCGTAATCTCTACTCATACTGGCAAAAATCCTACGAGCCTCATTTATCAACCCCATATGGCTACAAGCATACAAGAGTCCGATGAACGTGACACCATTGGGCTTGATGCCTATCTGAATCATCTTAGAGAATAGTTGCAGAGCATCGTTAGCTTGTCCATGCATTGCCAGCCCTTGAATCATGGCCGACCACGAGACAATGTTTCGGTCCTCCATCTCCTCAAAAACATTATGAGCAGCTTCCAAACATCCACATTTGATGTACATATCGATAAGAGTATTACATACATGAATATTTCTACTATACCCACTTTGCTCAGAGTACTCATGAATCCTCCTGCCAAGATCAAGTGCACCCAAATCAGCACATGCCGCGAGAACAGCCACAACAGTTACCTCATTAGGTCTCAACCCTGCCTCTTCCATCTGCGTAAAAAGACTAATAGCCTCCTTTGGCTTCCCACACTGCACGAATCCGGCAATCATAGTCGTCCATGACCTCAAATTTCTCACTGGCATTTGAGAAAATAAAGCATACGCCCCGTCAACATCTTCCCTCTTGACCGATTGGGCCATCATTATATTCCAAGTCACAACATCCCGTTGCGACATTTTCTCAAATAACAACCGCGCATCATTAATAGCTCCACAAGACGCATATAAATGAACAATAGTGTTTTGCAAAAACAAATTTGATTGAAACCCAAGTTTTTCAATGAACCCGTGAACAATTTTACCGTGTAAAAGATCCAACAACTTTGTGCAAGCTTTAATAGTAAAAGAACAAGAAAAAATGTCGGGACAAACATTATGGTTACGCAGCTGATAAAATAGCACAATTGCGTCATTTGGAGAATCACTTTCGGCAAAAGCTCTCAAACAGGAGTTCCACACTACAATCTCGGGCGTATCAGCACATTCGAAGATTTGTTGAGCGTAGGGAAAACAATGCGTGAAAGCACAAACGTAGCCAACTCGGGGAAGTGGGAGGACTGAATGAGGAGTGTTGGTTTTGATGACGTGGGCATGCACTTGTTTGAGCTCAAATAGAGAGTTGAAGTTGTAGAAAAGATCGGCTGTGAGGGTTTCTGAAATGGGATTATGAGAATTTCCTGATCGATTGGTTCGGTTGGGTTTCGAGGAGGGGAGTGTGTAGAGGGAAGAAACGAAGGGCATAGACTGAACCATTTCGGTTCGTGAATAACCGTTTATGTTTACCTGCCCGAGTTTAATCTCCAAACTTCGAACGTTGGGCATAAAACTTTTTTATAACTTCGATCGTTGGGCTTTAAACTTTTTTTGAACTTTGCTGAGGTTTGGAATTCCAGAAAATGATTTGTCCAAGCCTGCTGGTCATTCTACAGTGAATTTGAGCAGAGGATACAGTCATTGTGCAATTGCAACATAAAAAGAACACTCGACTCAATTGCAATCAAATGAGCTTTGATGTGGTCAGTTTTTCTTGGGACTCTTGGATAGAACATCAAACTGAGTTACTGCTGAAGCAAAATTTCCAGCAGTAAAAGGCAGGACTTGACCATGAAACCCATTGAACAAGCAAATGAGTGTTTAACTACAATACAAATTTCAGTTTCACAAATCATAACTAATTCCTTAAGTGAGCTAAAATCAAAATTACCAAAGATGTTACATATTTTAGAGGCGTGCCAGTCATGATTATTAGACACCCATCAGAATGTCGGCCAAAAGGTTTACTATTTACCAAAGAAGGTCTCGCCAAAAGGAAGAGGAAGCCGATTACCAACCATGCTGGGCTGCTGGACAATACGGAGAGGCGAGAGCGAGGGCTTCATTTACTTCGATCTCTGCCTCATCTTTTGTAAAACCCACAAGTGTGTTCTTCTTGATAAACTTGAATGCTGAAATTGTAATTAATTGCGAAAGATTTACAAAGGCAATTAAAGAAAGAAGTACATCATTGATCCGTCGAAATAAATTCTTGATTTTCTTTAGCCCAAGGGATATAAAAATTAAATACGCCCCGGGGAGGGAATAACATGTATATTTGACGTTGGCAACCAACAGCCCAAGCTAAAATTTCCCCCTTGTCTGTTGTTTGCTATATCATTTTTTTGTCACGCAGATGGCATGAAGTATCGAATGATGGTGTAGGAATAGAATCTATCTTGTTGAACAATTGTTGATGCATGTAGACAGTAGATGGAGAGAGGTCGTCGTGGTCATTAATTTGTTCCGCTTAGGGATTAGATTATATAGTTTAATTTGAGTTTGTGTAATTGATAATGAATTATTTATAACCTTTCAAGGGAAAAGAGAAGGAAGCAAGGGGAAAAGAAACCATAATGCTTTCCAAGTTACTACTGTACATCAGTACATGTATTGAATTTCCAGTTCAATCATTGATCTGTAGTCACTTCACTTGCAGCTTCAAACTGGTAAAAGCTCTGCAATGAGATTTGTTGTAGGAAGAGATATCTTCATGAAAAAACCTATTGTAAAACATTTGCCCAGTGTGAACCCTCTACAATTTTTCTGGTCTTCTGGTATATATCCCTAAAGCTTCTGCCTTCTGATGACCGGCCGGTGAACAGGAACATAATTGGTAATCTCTGTGTGTGTGTGCGCAAGTGTTTTTATTGGCCAGTAAAATAAATTACACCAGTGTTTAGTTAGATAAATAAGGCAACAGATGAGAGGGTAGAAAGCCCTAGGGAAAACCAGCAGACTTTCACAACACTTAGCTTTGGCAGAGTCAAATCCTATGCTGAATGCACGGGCTACTATGTCAAATCACTTGGGAGGATATAGATGCAGAGCAGTCCAACTCTAAATGGGTATTAAAGAAGCACAAAGTTTGCAGCACACATTGATCTCTCTGCAACTTGTGAATTATTTTTTAGACCACTGCACTTAAATTCTAAACATAATTTAAACTTCTGAAGGAGACGATCAATAATCTCCAATGAATTGCACTTGACAAAGCTTTATTCCAATAGACATCCCATCTCAACACCCTTTGAAAAGGCACAAAGTACTAACTATTCCTATTGAATTGAAGTAATAAAAAAACTTTTTTTTTAACCCAATACCCTATTTTATTTCATTTTCAAAAAATCAATTTCAATTACAATTACAAGAAGCAATCACTCAAGTGTACAAAGAATCAAAAAAGAAAAATTTTCTTTCTGAGCTTCTTCACTCCTTGCTGATCATGAAGCAGGAGCAGTTTAGCTTGAGGAGGGAGGTTCCTTGCTTGAGAAAAATCCGAGGAGCATTCCTGCTGCACAACAAAATTAGCAAAGAAATCTACTAAACTGTTAGATTCCCTGTAAACATGGAACAAACTAAACTTCAGTTTACCCAGAATTTCCAAAAATGTGCCATAAAAGCTTCCTCAATAATAAAACTTGCACTACCATAATTGAATAGAATAAAGCCCCCCCCAATAAACCTGCTAAAACCCTGCTTTTCTTTCTTTCAAAACCCTAATCTGCACCATCAAAACAACAAACTTTTAACACAAATGACAGAAATTTTTTAATCAAACCTCGTCTTCATGAAGAAGCATATTGGGAATACCCTTATTGATGGGAAATTCCAGCAGGTCTCAGGGCAGACAAGAGCACCTTCTTCGAGGTGGAGCTCAAGGAGCGCATGGTGGAATTTCTGGAGAAAGTCATCGGAGTCTAGCATCGAAGGGTCGGCCTCGCCGGGTAGCCCATGGACCTGGAGACGTCTATGAGGGCCTTCCACTCGATCTTGGCGAACATGTTCTTCAGAAAGTCGGCGTTGAAGTCCACTTGCTTCTCGATAACTTTCTCGACTTCGATTCGCAGTGGGAAGCCGTTGGACATGCCCTTGATGTTGGACGATAACATATTGTGGGTTAACAGCCTCATCTCCGCCTTCTCTCTCCTCACTCTCTGTAAATTGTCTTTCTATCTCGAATCTCCGCAATCCATTGCGGAGGCCGGTTAGCTTTTGCATTCAAGTTCAAAAATACAGATTCAAATAAACACTCACATAGAATTTACCACTAATTCTCGAAGTCAATTACCGAGAATGAGAAAATCGACCACCAAGATGCCTGAAGCCATTGTACAACACTAAGAAAATCAAGCACCAATCCTAAGAAAATCAAGCACTTGTTTGAGCTCAAATAGAGAGTAGAAGTTGTAGAAAAGATCGGCTGAGGGTTTTTGAAATGGGATTATGAGAATTTTCTGATCGATCTTTTCGGATGACATTACATTCTAAAATCATTCATATCATGAGAGTACTAATATAATCTCTTAATACATATGACTCTATTTGTCAAATATTTACAATATTATCCAAAAGAATAAGCCCAAGTCATGGTTATTACATCTCAAAAATTAATTAAGGAAGCGCAGCGAAATAAACAAAAGAAGCTAGACTACACAATGTTCCAAAAGAATATTTTAGCCTAGTACAAAAGGAAAGGAGGTCGTCTATGCGTCCACCTCGGGATCCACACTCCCATCCCGTGGAGTCTCCCAAGTAGCGGACACCTCGACTCTTACGTCCTCCTCCTCAAGCGGGTAATCTGAAAAATGTTAGCGATAAAGGGTGAGTACGAAGCTCTGTAAAAACATTCTTTCAAACTCATACAAGGTTTATAAAAGAATTTAAAATGATCGGTCTCAATTTTAATATAACATAGACACATAATTTGAAATAAAACAATGACATTTAAAAAGGATCTCAAGTTTATTTAAAAACATTACTTAAGTGAATAAATGAGCACTACATACAAATAATAATCATTAATTGTCATAACCAATTTTCAACAATTCTTTCGGTAGGTGACATACTTTATGGTAACTTCCACCCCCCTTTTAGATCACCTTTGATTCTCAAGTATCCTTACCGGGAACCTCTTGAAAATAGATGAGCATCCTTACATGAAACCTTTCACCAATCACTACATTATTTCCCAAGCATCTTTACCGGGAACCTCTTGGGAAGGGGTGAGCATCCTTACAAGGAACCTCTCACTCATGTGCATCATAAACAACCCAACTAAGCATAAAATTCCAACATTTATCTCAATTTACAAGCATCTATTCAAAANCACCAATCACTACATTATTTCCCAAGCATCCTTACCGGGAACCTCTTGGGAAGGGGTGAGCATCCTTACAAGGAACCTCTCACTCATGCGCATCATAAACAACCCAACCAAGCATAAAATTCTAACATTTATCTCAATTTACAAGCATCTATTCAAAATTTCCAAAATATATCATATAACAATTCCACCACTNACCCAACCAAGCATACAATTCCAATATTTATCTCAATTTACATGCATCTATCCAAAATTCCCAAAATATATCATGTAACAATTCCACAACTAACTAAGAAAATACATGAGATCACAATAACATCATTTTTCTACCCAACACAAAGCACTAAGATTTCGAAATCCATAATAAAGAAAGCATTTAGGAAGAAAATACATCACTCTCCAAAAATTAGGGTTTTAAAACTAGAAAGGAGATTTCATGGGTATTAAACCCTACTTTGTTCAAAACATGTAATCCTTGCAAAAAGCCTAAGAGATGATGATTCCATAGCATATATATATCATTGATAGCCAAAACATACATATATAAATACCCTAGCCTCAATGTAAGTGAATGAGAGAAAACCCCTACCTTGAATCCTTAGTTTTTGAGTGAAGAACAAGAATATTTGATCTTGAATCACCCATGAATCTCTTGTTTTTTCCTTCCTTTCTTCTTCTCTAATGCCCTCTAGGGTTTCAAGAGGTGTGGGGGTGTGAGGGGAGCGAAGGAAATGAGAGCAAATGAGATGAAAATGAGTTTAAAACATAGCAGCCCCGAAAAATACTGTTCTCAGGCTGTTTTGAGTTTCTCCAAATTTACGATTTTGTCACTAAGAATCTTTAATTTGATCCATATGACTACCCTAAGATTTTTCGACGTTCCGAATTCATTTTTAATGTTATTTTAACCTAAAAACATTTATTTTTATGATTTATCTCAACACCTAAGTCAACGTACACTTGAAACACTAAAGTTTTTATTTTACCCGTCTGAATCGGCTATTAATGAAGTTTTGCGATGTTGCAAATAAAAGGTGATAAATGGTGTTTCTTAAAGTCTTTTATACTTATTTGAAGCGTAAAAGTACTCATTATTTTTATATTTTGATTGAGGATGCAAATGGAGACATTAAATGCAAAACGAAGCGAATTGGACTATTTCGACATCCTTTCGTTATCTGAGCAAAACTCTCTCATCCAAGCTCCGATTGAGATAATTCAAGATGCTATAAAATGATATGAAAGAGCTCTAAAACTTTCATGTTTTGAGTTTTAAGAGATATTGACTGCATCAAGGTCTAAATCGAGCTTGAAGTTATAGCAGTGCACTATTCATAACCTGTCTTCGTCCCTTTTCCATTTCCAATCCATTCCTAAGCCAATCAAATCTATCCCAAACCTCTCCAACACATATTTCTACACCAAACCTATTTAATACAAGTTCTAGGACCTAAAATTTCATATTTTCACTTATTAAAATCAAATTTCAACTATTATTTTCACTAACATTTTAAATCTCTACTTTTCCAATCTACCAAATTCAAACACACATCACTACATATATCCACATTTTTTTTTATCACAATTATTTACTATATATCAATATATATATATATATATATATAAAATAAAATGTGGAGTGTTACATCCTCCCCCCACGGAAGGATTTTGGCTGACCTGGCTTCGCCCCTCTTAGCCAAGGCTTATATGCAAGGGAGGGAGACGACCCTCTTCCGATGTGGGACACGCTCCTGTGGGCGAAGAGGGGTAAAGACTACTGGTGAATAACCCTCAAGATGAGCGAAGCCAAGTCAACCAAAATCATTTCGTGGGGGGGAAGATATCCCGAACGCGCGGATAAATCCCCTACAAAAAAATGCTAGTGGGTACCTCCTCCATATGAAACCAATGCTTATATGCAAGGAGGGGAGACGACCACAACCAAGGCTTATATGCAAGGGGGGAGACGACCCTCTTCCGATGTGGCCAAGGCTTATATGCAAGGGGGGGAGACGACCACAACCAAGGCTTATATGCAAGGGGGGAGACGACCCTCTTCCGATGTGGGACAACCTCCTGCGGGCGAAGAGGGGTAAAGGCTACTGGTGAAGGAAACGACCACAACCAAGGCTTATATGCAAGGAGGAGAGACAACCCTCTTCCAATTTGGGACAAAGTCCTGCGGGGAAAGAGGGGTAAAAACTACTGGTGAATAACCCTCAAGAGGGGCGAAGCCAGGTCAACCAAAATCTACCAAAAGAAGAGCAGCTTGGGGGTAAATATCGATTAATGTGATCACCAGTATTCTTGGCAAAGTTAACTAGCTCGGAATCATCTAATCTCTCATTGGCATGAAAATAACCAACAATACTAACTTATTTGTCTCATTTTTCATCTGTTGGTTTAGACAATGGTGATTTTAGATTTAATTACTAAAATTGAGGATATCATTTAAAGCTAGGGAGTTGGGGTTTCTAGAGGAGGGTGAGATGAAATTAGAAAACAGATGTTTAATCATATATGTAGGGATGAACAAACAAAAAAATAATTTAAAGTGAGGTGTAAGTAAAAATGGGGTGAGAAAGGATATTTTAGGGGTGAAATAGCCCCATCCATCTCCATTAGAGATGGTTAGAGGTTCAAATATCTCCGGCATATGTATATCTCTTGGAGTCACAACCCTTAGGTTCAAATATCACACGATTTTTTCAAATTCAATAATTCAATTCCATTGAAAGCATATAAGACATTTCACAATCAATGCCATAGCTTAAAGGTTATATATAATATTTGTCCTTTTTAATCATTGCCAACCTCGAAAAGTTTGGTATAAAAGAATTGTTGGGTTTATAGACCCTCGTGGTAATAACATGGTTATCTTTACAAAATCCATATCTTAATATTTATTTGTCATTCAGTTCAGAAAAAATATAAATACATTCCTACATAGGCTTTCTTTTGGTTTATGGGAGGGAATACACTAAAATGGACCATACTAATTCATATCAGTGAATGTATGAATGCCAACAGCATGTCCTGTTGATGGGGGCAATACAGCTTGCAGTTTCTTTATCATTTGGTCAAGCTGTTTCAATTTGTCTACCTCTCCTCCCTGCAACAAACACCTCTCCAACATACAAAACACAGCTTCACTCATATGCCTCCCTCTTTCCAGCATTTGTTTGGAGCATTCAAAAGCTTCTCGTACCCTGCCACGAGAACACAAACCAGTCACCAAGAGATCCAACGCATGACCATGAGGACAATACCCTCTCTCCAATAGGTAACTCCACAAATTCAAAGCCAAATCAAGCTGGCGATTTTCACAAAAGAATTTCATTAACATCACCACAGTCCGTGTCTCAGGCACAAAATCTCTCTTAATCATCTTGTGGTAGATCTTAGAAACACCATCAATGCCCTCTGCCCTCATCAACCCTAAAAACATAGTATGGTAAGTGACATTGTCGTGTCCAATACCTTTTGTTTCCATCTCATTCATTAAGCTAGCAGCAGACTTCATATCTCTAGATCTGATGAGAGAACTCATGAGGGCATTGTATGCCCCAATATCTGGCAGTAAATTTCTCATGCAGATTTCATTGAACAACTCTTTTGCCTTGGTTGTATTCCGAGCAACCCCTGCTCCATGAATCAAAGTAGTTATTGTTTCCAATGTAGGCGAGCAATTTATCTGTTTCATTTCTTCAAATAGTCTGAGTCCATCACCAAAACAGCCCTTCTTGCAGTAGGCATCAATTCTGATATTATAGGTTACATTGTTAGGCTTAAAACCTCTTCGAACCATCTCATGGTAGAACAGCTCAACTGCAGTAACATCACCCGATTCCTTGAAACCCAAAAGCAAAATATTCATTGTCTTGGCATTGGGGGAAAATTGAGAATGCAGCTGGTTGAACACAGATCGTGCTTCCTTCATCTGCCGTTGTGTGCAAAATGCTCGAAGAAGTATGTTGAACTCATCAGTACCAAATTTTTTCCCAGCAAATATTTTCTTCTCCATCCTCTCGAATGCTTCAAGGGTATCTTCATATGATTGGAATCTTGCAATTCTCGATAACATGATGCTCATTGACTTAAGGGTAAGCAAGGAAGGGTGTGACCGCCTGATTTCTTCCATCAGTTCCCAAGCTTTATCAAAATAGCGCATTCGCGTAAGTATGTGGAGGGTCTTTTCAAAAGCATCAGAACTTGGACAGAACTGGGAGTGGAGGAGGGAGTATTTGAAAAATTCAAAGGCTTTGAGGCCATTAGAGTGGGCTGCGAAGAGGCGACCAAGAACATTTTCCACAAAGGTAGGGGAAAGGACAACTGGAGGAATCTGGTGACAAAGGGTAAGGTGAAGTGGGTGATTAGGAAATGGATGGTCGTTGATAATTTTGGTAATCCTCTCACTTTCAATTTCTGTCTCTGAAGAAGAATGATGTCGGCAGGTCAATTTGAAAGCTATGCTGATAAACAGTGAGAGCTTCAGAGAAACTTGGAGATGTATATTTGTTTTCCCTGATTTGATTCGAAGAAGCATGATCTTTTCTTCAAAAGATGTGGCTGAACATCTGAAGTTCCATCTACAGTCACGATGCTTAACAAGTCGTACCTCCCTGATTAACCAAATGGGCACCTAGTTTAGTATTGTTTTTAATAAATCAGATACAACAAGATTCAAGATTTGAAAATGTGCATGACCATTTGCTTAATTAACAGTATGGTAGGATCAAGGATGTCTACTATTTTCTAACAAAAGTTTAATTACTTATCAAAAACAATTATAAAGGAACCAAACTATTCACACATAAATTGCAGAGCCACCGCCAAGTCGATTAAACTTCTTAATATGACCGCACCAGTTTAGTGAATTATGAGCAACACAAAATTAACAGAGCTGTAAGGGCTAGCAGTTATAAATCCACACATACACACAAAGCATAAATCAGAATGATGTCGTTTTAACAGTCTTGAAATATAGCAGAGCTGTCGACGACATTAATCTTGAGAGGAGAATATACACAACAAGCAAAGACATGTTCAAAGCTTCAAAAATGGCAATAGCAACAATCTTATCCCAAATGATCTGGAGTTGAAGATTGATCTTTTGACCTCCTACATGGTCTCCAGAAAAGATTCTTAATTCATTAATTACAGCTAGTTAAACAGAAAATCAGCTCAAATGCAACACAATTACAGCAAATTAAATGAATTTCAGCTCATTGCACCACACTAAGACCATCATTCTTCAGCAACTAGCTAAAAAATAGCATTTTCACAACTACAGGGAATTTCACAACACAATCTCACTAAATGTGCCATCCAATTTCAACTTCTAAGAATTTCAAAGGCATTTAAAAAAGAATTTCATCACTTAATTTATTAATTTCAGCTATTATGCATCACTTTTTCCGAGGAAAAAAAAAAAAGAACAGTCAGTATTCACCAAAAAAAAAAAATCACTGCCTTGTATCTTACTTGAAATAGGCCGGAGAAGGAGTCAGAGATAGTTCGATGGACGAGAGGGAGTCGGAGACAGTTCGGAGGCCAAGAGGGAGCCTGAGAGAGTATAGAGGGTGGAGACTGGGAAGAGTGGCACTCGCTGCAGTGTTGTTTTTGTCTTAAAATTTTTGGACAATTAACAAATAACAAGGACTTGAAGGGAGGTTTGGTGATATGCTAAACCCACACGTTTGGTGATTACTGGGCTGGGCTAGAAATTGCCCCTTACTTGATACTGGTGGTGAAAACCCATTACAATCTATCAACAGGGAACCCTGGCCATACGGGGCAGGGCAAGGCAGGGCAGGCCGGGGCGGGGATAGGATCCGAGTAGTTCGGGTTCAGTTAGAATTTGGTTGGATGTTTTAATTCGTTTAGACTTCTTCATTCGAGCCTCAAATCAATTACTGGACTCATCACATAAAACAGAATATAGATCTCTAACTAAGACAATAATAAAATCAAAAATATATGCTAACATATAAAAAAGGAAAAACAATTAAAGTAATCAACGTAATAAAAAAACCGACTCTATCACCATGTAACATATTATAGTTTGGCAAATTAAGATCTCTAAACAAATAGTTTCCAAAAAAAAAAAACATTTATTTTCTAAAAAATTCAACCTGTAACTCATGGGGAACACCATACAAAACTTAAGACATTCTAATCAAACCAAAACTACATACAAAGCATAACAAATCAACAGATGTGACTAAAATGAACAACACTGTCCAAAGCAAATAATATAGATCACTAAAAAAAATCAAAATAGCTATTTGTCACATCCAGAAAGGACAGGGAATATTCTCCAGCAACCAAAGTACTAGCTTTGGTGTACTAACAATTAAGGCCCAAAACCAACTATCTAGCACCTTGTCCACACCATAACTGTGACCGCTCGTTGTTAGCATATTTGTTTTTTTTTCATGTTCTCAGGACAGAGTATTGAAGAACACTTGACTATGAATCTAGGCCAAAGATTTCTCAATTCTAATGGTGATGGGAAAGTTAGCTCTTGGAAACCTTGAGTCCTACATTTACAAGAAATCAAAGTCACACATTTCTCGGCCAATGTTAGTTAATTTGATTGAAAAAAGCTCTACTACTTAAACCATGCCATTAATAATGAGAACATACAAACAATTGTATGCGCAAAAACATGAAATACTCAAAAGTATAACATAAGGCGATATGATTCCATATTTTAGAACAGTAGACACTCCAAAGCACAACATAAGGCAAAATGATTTAGAATGTCAAAAACAAAGGGTTTGTAACATGTTTTTGGAACCAACAAACACATGAATTGAAGTTCAAAAAATCGATGTTGAAGAATTATCAATTATATCCAAACGTATATATATTGTATGATATATAAATGCATGCACATGCAAACCAGATAAGTAATGATAGTGACTAATAATGATAGCATGCTCAAAGCATCAATATACCAATCTCAGAATAAGGCATCAAGTTTATCATGATTTGAATAACAATACCAGTCTAAAAGTGGCTAAAATCTACTCAAAATTTTAGGTATGTCTCTATATGAGACATTTCATCGAACAAACTATGTGCGCAAAGGGGTTTACAATTGGGAGGGTGTTGATGATGAATTTAGTTCTTAGAGAAATTTTGTCGTAAGAAGTTGCTTTAAAAAATAGCAACAAACCACAACAAATAACAATGAAATCAAAATAATCTCACAACCGGCAATTTGTGGCAGTGGGCGATGAATGTGGGGTGTTGTGCCGAAGGAGCAAAACCAAAAACAAATCTACCCAAGTCAATCTAACAGCTACTTGGGGGTCTGGTGGGTGGAGGAAAGGTACACTTTCTGAGAGAGGGCGCTGCTATTTGTGGTACTGAGCAAAAGCTTGTTCGAGGGACTTGTCGGTGCTGCCCCAGGCCAACCCACCGACGAATCATTGGCAGACGCCATTGAAAGCAGAGAGAAAAAGAGAGAGGGGAAAATACCTGGCCAAAGTAGTGCCCTGAGGTTGGTGTAGTTAGCTGGCAGCGACGACGCTGCAGCCTGTGTAGGCTTTCATTCAATTTTCGGGGTTTTTGCCCCGAGAATAATGGGCCAAGTAAAATCGACCCATATAAGAGTCGGACACAAAAATTATTCTTGTACACAATTTATATCAATACTACTTAAAAATATAGAGATACTTGAAAAATATTTATATTTTATTTTTACTTCTAACTATTGATATAAAGTCAATCATATCCGCAATGTCTTTTAGTTTAATATACTGATTATATCTATGGTACTATCGTAATGTCTACGATAAGAAATAAAATTTTTGGGATCGTTTAATAATGTTTTCGTTTTCGCGTTTTCAAAACAATCAAAAATAAAGATAATTTTTGTCTCTATTTTGTGATAAATACTGAAACAAAAAACATGTTTGGATGTCATTTTTATCTAATTTTGAGAATAAAAAACAAAAACTATGTTTGGTAACTACTTCACTTTTATCCTAAATATGCTTTGTAATATATAATTTTCTTTTTAAATATCCTAAATATGCCTGACCAATTTTTTTTTTTTAAGAAAGAGAAAATTTTATTTCCAAAAAAAAAGGATTACAAGAATCAAATAACAAATTTTCTAAAGTATGAAAAAATGGATTCAATACTTCAAGATGGATTAAACCATTTCTAATTCCAAGAAATTACAAGAAGCAAAAGTGGCTTTAATCCTTCAGTAGGACTAAAACCAAATACTTTTTGTTTTTTTATTTAAAAAAAAGAGAAAATTTATTGATTAAAGTGAAAAAATTACAAGAAGCAAATCAAAAACTATTTTAAGACAAACAGTAACTGAATTTACAAAAAAAAAAAAAAAACTGAAAACTGAAAACAATTTGTCATCAGAATTATGTTCTTGTGATAACTGCACTGCCATCAATGCCTTCTGCTAAAACTGCTGAACCAGCTGCAGCACAGCAGAACCTCCTTTCAACAATATACATAAATATTAGCATTCATCAGATCAGCTAACTGCAGCACATCCTGCTAACTGCTCAGCTGCTGATCAGAACAACATCTAAACAGCAGCTCTCAGCTTCCATCAGGCAGCAATTCAACTCAGCAATACACTGTCTGGATATATCACCAAAGAAACTGGACCTGCCTCATTTCCATCTGCTTAAAGAGCTACTCAGATAAACCCCACCACAGCTCCTGCACCATTGCTCACAACAGCAATCTGCCAGTTAGCAGAAAATCACTCAAGCAGAACAGATTAGCAACCAGTTCAGCAATCAAGCACACTTCCACAGAAATCACTTCAATCATCAATATCCCAGCATCTAACCTCAAAACCATCCCAGCAGACAGCAACTGCTTAAAGTCAATTTAAGCAGCCAAACTGGAATAAAGACACCAATTACATAGAATATGACTATGAGCTGTGAGCTATGACTATCCAGCTGTACTTCAAAATCCAAAACTAGATAATATCAATATCCCTCCAAAAGCCTTAAAACAGCTCCTAGCTCTTAAAACAGCCTCCATTGATAGTACCAGATGACCATTGATACACAAAAACCTCCCTGATCAGCCTGACCAATGCAAATAAGCTCCTGGAAACTTGTTGGCTGTCAAAATTGCAAACCCTCAAGCAATCTCCATATCTCTTCCAATACAGTTTATAATATATCATACAACAAAATACAAAGTCCAAAAATTCCTTAAACAAAAACATCTACTAATTCATCAAAGAACACCTAAATAAAGATAATTAGATTACATAATATTCATGTTCCCACATTAATACATCATATTGTTCAAAATACAACCAAATACACACATTAATAAGTCATATCACTTAACTAAAATTCCAATAAGTAGTACAAATACCACGAACAATAATGTACAAATAAAGATCAATTTACAACCACAACAAGCAAACATGAAAATAGTGATCCATTTCTTCTCTCTCCATCTTGACTGAGCTTGAGGAATCACATGTTGTTCAGTTGTAATTGTGTTGTACTCATCAACCCATATGAAATAATTATCATGGTCACGCCATCGTGGACAACGATACAAAGCTCGTCCATTGTTTTATTTGATCCTTGCGACCAAAATATTCATGTCTCCGGATCCACACGAGCATGGAGGACCAATACGTGCCATTATAAATCACCTAATTACATTAACATTAACAAGTAAAATTAGTCATACAAACATTAAGTTCAATATAACAATGCAAGTACCAACACATTTTTTACCATCATAATAAACAATAACATCAGGACATGTATCAATGGTGAGTTGATGCCCACAATTGATCTGCAATTGTATTTTTGACACGAGTCATTTGACGCAGTTGACTCGGACTTATGTCTAATTCTATTGGGACCTGTGAACTTGATCGTGGAACAGTTCTTTCATTATCAACAAATTCTCTTCTTTCCCACTTGTCAAATAACTGATCTTGACGAGAATGCATTCGTATGAAGTTATACATTGTACAACATGCTGTGGGAATGTATTTCTATGTGGTTAAGGGATATGGAGGCATTAACTTCAGAATAGAAAAACGAGCCTTTAGAACTCCAAAGCAACGCTCTATCACATTCCGAATCCAAAGTGACGAGTGATGATGATTGAATAGTTCTTTTTTACCTGTTGGTTGTCGATCCCTACCTCTATAGTCACGCAGGTGATATCTCTCACCCCAATACGGGGACAGAAAATTAGGCATGTTTGTGTACCCCGAATCCACAACATAGTATTTATTTGTCAAAATATTATAAGTATAAGATTCATTGTCTAGTTTTATGTATAAGTATTACAACTTCCATAATTACACTTACCTGCTGGTGGCATTGAAAATTTGTTGGCTGGATTAGCAACACACTCAACAAATATTCTTGACTCATAAGCAGTACCCTCC